AGTGGCAGTTTTGGTTTATATTAGCAAGGTCGGAATTCGCCTCCAGTCTTGTAGATGGAGACCAACCCTGCGTTATGGGACGAGGCCTAACTTAACCTATGGGGAAGAAGGGTTTGGCAATAAAGGACGAGAGGAAGAAAAAAAGAAAAAAAAAAAAAAAAAAAGTCGAATCGCTTAAGTCGTTTACCTTCAATGAGAACCTTACGTTCCCCACAATACCATGTCCATTATGTACATGTATGTATGTACACGTAACTACATGTGTACCTAACGGTTTAAACTTGGTATTAGGTACACATATACCTTACCGTACATAGGGGGGTCTACTAAACGGTATATATACCGCATATATACCATTCAAAAAATTGAACCGCTCTAATACCTGAAGGGAAAGGTTCTAGTTTAAATTTTAGTAGGTTAAACCTAATTGAGCAGTTCAAATAAGTATAAACGTGCTAAAATAAGAGCCGCTAAGCTAAATTAAGGCGCTTATATAATAGAGCCGCTCAAATCAGATTGAGCCGTATTATTACGGCTCATTATGACTGAGCCGCTCAAAAGTCTGAACGGCTCAAAATTTCGAGCGGTTCATATGGTATATAGGCATATGCGGCAAAAGGGAGGTACAGCACCATACTAATTGTATGGTGCTGTACTTTCATCTTCTACTTGTCGCATATTGATTTTTACTTGAATGTCACAGCTATTGTCACCGCTATTGCTACGAGGTTCAAGTCACAGGATTTAATTATTTTAATTGGTTAAGCTACAGACATCATTCAAATAGACCAATAGACATAAGCAGTTACGTTACGTACGCGCGCACGTACATGATATTCTTAATGTGGTATATATGCACGTAATAAGGCAGGTGCGCACACACCACCCACCACATACCACACATAGACAACATACAAGGCCACATACAATTGAGTCTATTCAATTCAGTCTATTCAATTCAGTCTATTCAATTGAATCTAATCAATTGAATCTAATCAATTGTGTCTAATCAATTACATACATTTATCAGGTACGTTGTATGTGTATTGCGCTGTACGTATACGGCTCATATGATTGGACCGTTCAAATCTCTGAGCGGTTCAATTTTTCGAGCGGTTCAATTTTTCGAACGGCTCATTCTGATTGAGCGGTATTTATACCGCTCATTGAATTAAGCGGTATAAATATAGCTCAAACCCATATACGTTTCAAAAGATTAGCACGTGCAGCGGGGGAGCCGTATATATACTATTCAATTAAATGAGTCGTTTAAGTAGCGATACGTACATAAATATAAGCCCTTATTATATTAAGCGGTATATGTACGGCTCAAAATATTGAGCTGAATATATACCGTTTAGTTAACCCCCCCCAAGACGGTAAGGTATTATAAGTCTTCCGCTAAATTCCCTAAGGTACCATGTCCCTGCCAGTTGATGCGCATCTACTTGCGCATATCTTCTTTTCTGTGCTTGTATACATCGTGGTACCGTGTATGCAACACTTCCTGCTTAACTGATTTGTGCCTAAGATTCTGCTACCCAGCCCCATGCATCTTTCAGGGTCTGATGCTAGGTACCTTACTTCTATATCCTTACCTATTTTGGTATTTTTAAATGCTACGCCGCCACATGCAGAACCGTTAGCACGCACATTTGACAGGAATACAATACCTTACACTATGTACGGAATAATAGCATCTGATAAAATCGCATTTGCGGATTTGCGAATTTGTTGGTGGACGGCTATGCTTTTCTTACTTCTCACCGCCTTTCATAGGTAGTTTGTTCATCCAAATATTTCCAAGTAGACTCCCGGTTCGTTGCCATTAGCAGCAGGGCTAGACCCGGCACCATACGAAGATCACACACACTGGGAAGGGGAATATTGCATTTCTTACATGATGTAGCCTTGTGTGGAGTTAATGGCTAGCTGGATTCTTAAATATCAACCTATCAGATGAAGACATCTACATAGACCACTTACACTACACTATGTACATACCTAAGGAATACATGCTCAGCTAATTCGTACATACATTACATGATAGTTAGTACTCCCACCAAACTCAGTAAACTAGCATTATTATCGTCATCACTATTATCACTGTCATTACCATTGTCGTATGTCATCAGACAATACATGACCTAGGCCATCGTTCGACCAACCCCATCCTCGGTTCCGTCAGACAAAAGAAAACGTAAACGGCACCAAGCAGCGTACCACACAAATTCATACATACGTACATGCTCTGTAACATACCGACGAGTTCGGAATCTTAGAAAAAGGAACAAATGGACTGGTGACAAGTGGCGAGAGGCATATTGGGTCTAGGTCTTGCTTAAACCTCTGTTCCGATACCTAAGGTATGTAGTCGCATAAGGGCAATTCGACGATGGGGGTATATCCATTATATACATTATACACCATATACGTAGATAGGCGGCCGCTCCTATCTCCCGGGACTAAGTACCACAAGGTCCGCCTGTCGATCGACGCTTATCTCGTGGAAAGGGCAGAGATACACATTATTCACATCTATATAAAGGTTGCGGTCGCGGTAAGATATCAGAACTTGATGCCATGCGTAATGTATCCAACCTAGAACCATGGCAAGTCAGAATGTATTTCAGCGGCCTTCTAGTCTTGACTTTATCCTTTATCTCTATTATTGCATAATACGTTTACATCTGACTTTTCACATGTCCCCCTTGATTTCCCTTGTTCCCGAATCGTGGAATGCAGGGTTCATTCAGGGGATGGATGTGGATTCCCGATCAAGAACAACAGGTTCTAACTCCAGAATGGGGATTTCTCCGCTTTCTCGGGACCTTGTCACCTTTTTTTTTCTGTTGGGGATCGCCTGGGATCTAATCTTACCAAATTGATCAATTGTTGAGAAATACAGATCCTTGCAACCTTAAACCATCCTTTGTGCACCCCTGCTCATAGCCCTGAAAAGTCTTACCAATTGGCTTCTCCACGTGCGGCGGCAATCCGTGGTCGCTAATCTTTGGACTGTACATATTCTCGTTGTAAGAACCAAATATACCAACGCACCGCATCTAGGTTAGGTTATTATACATAATACCCAAGAAAGAATAGGAATAAAATAAGAAATAGGAGCGTCGAATGTCGAATGTCGAATGTCGAATCTTATGAAATGTACATATGTAAATCATATCAGCTTTACCATATACTTGCCTTTACTTACCGTCCTCGATGGCTATTGATTCGGAAGTAAACCCATTATTACGTCACAATTCAAACTACATAGGTAACTTGACTATGTTCGGTTAATACCCCAACATTAAGAAGCGTGAAAGAAGCAACATGCAGGTATGAAGCTTGTCCCGAGGTAAAGAGGTTATTATGTCTTTTCAACTCACATGCGGGACAATCCGGTCGTATTCGGTACTGCCTCGTGGCACCCGGCCTCATCGAAACTATAATGATGCAAGTTTCATGCTTTCGTTATCCTCACGCGGCTACTTGCAACACGAGCCAACGTGATAGCACTTCCAAAGTGTATAGAATATATCTACGTATTGTACCTTGCTACCTAATCGCATACTACCTAGCCTTCTATTATACATTCTTCCTGTCTTCCCTACCTCTTAACCAAGCTAGTTAATACAATTCATACACTCTGGACTTAGGAGAGCAAATTACCCCTGAATCCCATACCGAATGACAACAACGAAACCACCAGCAGGTTAGTCCTTTTTCTCTATTTTCTTGACAACCTCCTCCATTCGTGACAGCTTGCGCCATAAGGTATCCAACTTATCGTCGTTGTCAAACTTGCCGAAATCCACCGTGTCCGTTGTCTTCTCTCTTGTTTTCCTCTTGGCGCCACGTCTAGAGCGCTCGTGACGACCAGACTCGCGAGGCCCCAGCCCATTACCCGTATGCTTTTCCCGAGGACAATCCGGTTGCTGTCTCGATTCGTACTTGCGCTTTCTTTGTCTCTTTTCCAGACCAGGTCTCTTCCTTCCCCTGTGCCTACGCTTTGCTTCTCGGGGTACGGCGGGAGGTACGAAGAGGGTAGATGATTTGGGTGTATGGCTATCCCCGTTCGGTAGCTTAGAAGCTGAGGTATGGTGACGGTCTTGTGCATGAGGTGGATTCACCTCGCCCTTACTTGTTCCCACGGGGTTGCCATTTGAAGACCCAAGCGCCGTATTATGCGTCTTAAGTGCGTGTCCTAATCCCTTCTGTCTCTTCGCCGAGCGAGTATCGTAAGGTGAAGTAGACTCTCGAGATTCTGGCAAAGCGATACCCCTATTGAAATCGATTTCTGAATTATCAGGTAATTCCGAAAGCGACTTGGACTTAGATTTAGACTTGGATCTATGTCTCGGACGCTTCTTTGATTGCGAGCTAGATAGCACATCAGTAACTACCTCGGCTTGTACGTTGTGAGTGTCTTCATTCAAAACCGCTTGCGGTCCCGTAAGACCCTCCGAGGAGCACGCACGTATCTCCGTTTGTGCTTGAGTACGATCAGAACTTTGAGACTCTGGGTACACTTGCGAAGCGTTATCTTGATGTGTGACTCGAGTATCAACATGAGCCTGGTGAAGTATATGGGGCTCTTGGGAAGTAGATGCGTCACCAGGAGGCTCGGTTTCGTTCGCAAACCTCCTTCTATACAGCTCTTCTACGTCAGGAAAGCTCTCGTCATCAGAACTATCGTACCTAGGTTGACAAGCAACTGTCGGGGAGCTAGACTTGGGCGGAATCGTGTTGGACAATGCCACACCACCGCCGTTGCAAGACTCGGACGTCTGACAATCTCTAGGCTTGTGCTGGGATCGTTTAAAGAAGCTGGTTGGACTTTGAGTAAATATCGGTAGCCGATATTCGGAACTCTGCTGTTGGTCTGGTTCATGTTCTTCCGCGGCAGGAACACGTTCCGGGGGCTTCGTGCCGTAAAACCTCCACGGTGTGATCCTGCTACACCTGGAAGGTTTCTTCAATTTGGGACTAGGTTGCCTCGGTGGTGTACTGGCGTGTGGGATTTTTACTGGTGCTAAAGGCTTCTGCCGCTTCTTGGCCTCATCTGCAAGGAACTTCCTTAATGCTTTTGGCGTGCCGGTCTTCTTTGAAGTCGACACCTGGACCTTGAGTGTCAGCTGGTTAAACTAGTCTATTGCATCCTTGAGAGCGCCTTACAGAAGATTTCTCTTTATTGGCCTTGAGCGGTGTAAGACCTCGTCCATCTACTCGCGCGGGAGTATGCGCAGACGTTTCTAGTCTTTCTTCTCTTATTTCGTACTCATTGGTCGTAGTGCCTTGCCCGCTATCTTGCAACGTTGAAACTACAACGTTATTTGGTTCTATTGCCCCTATACTAAGGTTCGCTCTATCCCATCCGGCACCAAGGGTTGAATTCACGTCTCCAGATGACTTGTTTCTCAAGCTCGTTCGCCCAGAAACCGGCCTAGGACCGGTAGCATCGGTGCCTTCAGTTATTGACGTCGCTACCAGGCGGTTGACCGTGCGCTGATTAACACTAAGAAGGCTCTGACGAGCTATCTCCAGCTGTACTTCTTCGTAGGACATACCATCAAACGCAGAGTGGTATATAACATCTTTACGAGAGACGGAAACAGTCTTCCCGAGGCGGAAATTTGGTGGTACCGTTCGCCCTTGTATGTTGTGGCTGCGTAGCCGGAAGTTAATCATGCCAGCTACACTTATTGTGGCAAATACGGCCTGTCTGAAGTCTTGCTCGGTTGTTACGTTCGTCCCTGCTAGAGGTATTTGACGAGCGTGCCAACCGACCAGAACGCTCTCGCCTGCAGAATAAGTACCAGGTTTAAGATGTTGTGACCGGGAAGAACTTGGACTGATACTATTGTAGGTATCGTTACCACTTTGTCTTTGCTTGGATCTCGGTGTCTTGACAGCAACAGCGGTTGAATAATTTCCCCCCCTATCTGTGGCTTCATTAGAATGTGATGTTGCATATACAATTGAAGGTCTCTTTACTTACTCTTTAATGATAGCTTCTGAGGGCTATCGATACAAGCACCTTGTGGGCATGAGGATGCTCTTGATGAAAATGCCCCCTGGTGGTTAGAACTTCGCTGAGCTAATCCGAGCACAGATATCTCCTCGCCTGTCGTAGTTCTATTCGCCTTCAGTACGTTGATGAATCCTATTTCCAACTCCTTGAGCCTGTTCTGTGTAGCTGGAGAAAGATCCGGAGAGTTTACTCCGTCTAAAACTCTCTGATTAGGCTGTGCCGATGGCAGGTCTTCTGACGCCGAAGGTACAACACTTTGGTCATCCGCTTCAATCGATTGTAGCAGTGGCTCTTCAGCCCCTGAATCAACAATTGTATCATTCTCTTTCCAATCGTCGCCTGCGACATCCGACTCGTCTTCGCTAGAATATAAAGAAAGGTGTCGGCTTCTCGAAGATCGTTCTATATCACGAATCTCTTTCTGAATGCCTTTCCAAATCGGAGCCGCACAAGTCAGCTTGCCAAGCTCTTGGGGTAGTTCGGTACCGGTTATTCTATCGCGAAACATCTTCTTAAGCTTATTCTCTCCCATCGTTTCGAGTATTGCTTGATCAGCCTTGGCAGTTCTGATTATCATATCACGACACTTCCAAACGCGCACCCATCTATTGACCCACACGTCACCGTGGGCCATCCGAGACCGTCTCTGCGGTGACATGGTGCCTTTTGTTTGTCTGCGTCGATTCTTACACATCCCGTTGGTGGTTTTCTTCACTTGGGCGTATTTGTCAAATACTCCCGCACGGACGGTGGTAGAAAACTCTTCCATTATCAACGTCCAGAATTCCTTCTCGGGATCTTTCCCCGCAGTTGGGCAATGAAGAAGCCTTGACCTATGCTGGTAGCTGATCTTGAGGAGTTTTGTCTTCTCAATTGGCGAGAGTTGCTTGGAGCTACCAGATACCTCGGACCCAGCCATGTTTGGCGTGTAGTTGGGGTTTAAGGACGTCTGCGAAGAAACGCTATATTTGAGTTTGAAGATGGCTATGTAGCCCTCAGATATTCATCTACACGTTACACTAAGCATATCAGCAAGTTGCAGTTAATAATATGAGTTAACGAAGAGAGTCCCACCAATTGTCTTAGAGAGTATCGAAGGGTCCAGCAGCTTTTCCCAATAACTGGTACTCACGAAACCAACTGCTGAAGTACTGTAAAGATAGTAAAAGATCAGATTTCTACCATTGACTAAAATCATTGCGTATCATTTGCGAAATCTTGGGGTGTGCTGAATGCTTGATCCTAGCTTCCGGGTTTTATCGCTTACAGTCGAGACATCAACAGCCAAGGATGCGGTGCGAGGGTGTACGTGACGATAAAAAGCAAGCTGTGACGCTTATCCAGGCAGCCTAGTTTCCCGGGTAGCAGCTCCGACAAATTTCATTTCCTCCGTACAGGGTTTCGACAACTCGATGACGATACATTTATTGTGAGAAGTGACTAAAGTATTGGAGACGAAATTGGCTGAAACTGGGAATATGCGATATAAGACACTTGGAGTACATGTATGTAACATGTATTATAGATGTACAAGCTTATTAGCAAAGGCATACATGTCCGTAGGTCATAAACTTGAATGTATGTCCTCAAGTGCGAGAAAGACACAGGTACACTGCTCGTCTAACCTAATAGGTTGATTTCTTTGATACTATTTCTAGGATGGTATGTTTCGACCCCTTTCGAAGCTTTGATTCATTGACATAGGTAAGTGAAGTATGTATCTGTGTCTATCTCGCACTTGAGGACGTAGGCGCAACTATTATTTACACCCCTTAACCGGGGCTCCCGGGTAGCATCGATAAATGAACTGGCCATGGCTCGCGCTCGCAAATTGGCGGGGGCAGATAACGAATGGTACACTTCCAAGGGCCCACTTACGTCGCTCACTACCCAAACGGAGGTATTTAATATAATCACTAGTTGGATTTACTTCATCGACTTAGTAGTCAATAGCAAGCTCACGGAGGATAGACTTCTAGGGCATAGTAGCGAACATATTAGCTCTTAAGGTGAGAGTCTTTACTGGGTTAAGAAATATCTCCGCAACCGATGGATAGCTCGCAGTTAGAAATAAGAGAAGGTGTTGCCTATGTTTATAAAGGCGGATACGAGCAAACTAGAACTAGCGACGAATAAAGATGAAGTCGTGCCTTGGATAAAGCATTGATTCTTACGCGTTGCAGATAAGGTCGACGCCAACTTTGTGGATTGACAATTATGGAACTCCATAGTTTCGTAAGTTACCAGCCTAAAGAAACATTACTTGGCATTCGCACGAGGGAAACATTTGCCTTGGAGGCTACATTGCCGATTTTCATAGCACAGATAGTACTATAAGACATCCTTTCGGAGCTATTATATTACATGTAATGACTACTAGCATTACTATTTCGTTGTTATCATAGACCTTGGTTTTAGCACAGGATCTAATGGAGGGTGAGGATTGCCCCAAGCACGGGCACTTAATTAACGAATGGGGTTATGTTCCAGCTTCCAGACTCCCGGTACCATTGGATCTTTCGTGGGCACCTATGCGGGAGGCAATGTACACCGTGCGGTATAGTTTGTAAAATGACGACTCATATATGATATATTTGACGCCTAATCGTAATCCATAATTGACAGTGTATGGGACGCGATACTATGTAAATAGAAATAAATAAAGACCATTAATAGCCTCATAATGTCTCCTTTCGATTGAGGCTTAAGTGAACATTTTCTTTAAAATAGACCCTCGGTTTCTTATATGGCATCATACATAGGACTAAAGCCTCGTTCTGTACCTATAACTATGGGAATACCCCTTCTTCTATAATTACTACACAGCTGGGTAGGTATTCGCTACCTCTTGTCTAACTGCTGTTGGGTGTTTACATGTTACACCGTGTGGTTACTGAAGAGAACTAGAAAAAGCAATCGTTTCGATTCATTGCCCGTAAGCCCATCAGCCCTCGCTTAAGCCATGTCGAGTCTCACATGCAAAAGACTAAAGTACAATACTTGGAAACTTGTACCCTTCCAAATGTGAGATGCTAAATATAGGTACGGACTCGATTCATATTATGATAATAATCTATATCGTGCAGTCCGTAGGAATATCACACCGGATAACTTTCAACGACAATTATATATTCATCATGTGGATGATGTAGGATGATGTTTTTTGTTGATGTAGACGGGTCTGTAACTCAAGACGGACAGGGGTATATTGAGAGCGATGTTCAAGATGTGCTAGGAAACACCAAGTTAGAAGTCCCTTTTCGTAGATTTGAGTGTCGCGTGGGTTTGCTCTTCTGGATGGCAATTATATATAGGTACGCAATGGCAAATCAAGTAAACGGCAATTTGATTGTCAGAGCCCTTTAGTCTAAACTCCAGCTCTGTTGTACTTCGCTGTCTCTTGTGCTTTATGAATTCACGAAAAGGGGTTGAACCTATGTTTAAAGTGATATCTATTAGGGAACTATTTAAGGCTTTTGGGTGATGATGAATGGGAAGCGAAATAAGACATAATTACTATGACAAGGGTGAGGTAGTTGAAGTAAAATTCCATGTAAACAGTACCGGGAATGAAGATGTTTAGCAAGGATACCTAGGTAGGTAGGTAGATAGATATCCAGGGAGCTGTGCTCATAATTTTCATGGCTATCAGGTTATGCGAATTTGACAAGTTGCCAGCATCGACTCAGAGGGCGATAATTACTTTAACTCGCACCCGTTTATATCTCTTGCAACTTATTTCTATGACAGCTACAGCATCTACAACTGGAACTTCATGGTTCCTATACGTAACGAAGTCGTGGTCTTTAATCGTTGGGCCATTGGTCTGGAGAACCATGCTGTATCTCATTATGATGGGTATTTGCATAGTCTATAGCATGGTGTATGTTACTTTTACATCCTTATACGCGTGGGCTATCCATTTAATGCCTTTCCCTCCTCCGTGGCGCTGCGCGGATTATATCGTCCACTCTTAGAAGTAGCTAGAAAATATTAGCGTTTAGGTCACACCGAAGACGAAGACGCATGGAAAATGACTTACCTCTGCGGCTTCACTCGCCGACGATACAACTGCTTTCTTCAACTTGTAACTCTCGATGACTCCGAGATCTCGCATATCTGCTATTCCACCGCCGGGCGTCGTTAGATCTAAGCCATACGTCGACATACCGTCATATATGGCTTTTCGTAATCTTGCGACAAGGTCGCTGGAGTCTAGCCCTGCGTTGTCGGCAAGGATCGTAGGGAGCTGCCGTAAAGCTATGGCAAACGAAGATACAGCCATTTGCTTCTTGCCCTCAACCCGGGTCGCAGCGCCTTCCACCGCCTTAGCCATAAGCATCTCGGCGCATCCACCGCCCAGTGTGGTTCTCGGCTCCCTAACAGTTTGAGAGAGGACGGCCAAAGCATCGTGTAGTGAGCGCTCTGCCTCGTCTAGCAACTGTTCCGTAGCACCCCGAAGGACGATGGTGCAAGCTTGACCTGCGGCTACACCAGAAAATTTTATAAGAGTGTCTTCTCCGATGATGATCTCCTCGATTAGGTCGCAGTGGCCTAGTTTTACCTGCTCCGGATGGTCGAATGTCGATGCAATCTCACCACCGGTGACCAGAGCCAAGCGCTCGATGCCGTCGAAGTCGGCGTGCTCGATGGACATAATACCAGCGTCGGTAAAGAGCTGCTCTGGCCAGTTGTAGATCAACTGCCTGTTGATGAAACAGTTGATACCATGTGCCTTGATCCTATCTACCTTCGCTTTCATCTTGTCTTTTTCGGCCTTCTCAAGCTCGGCTAGCTTGCCGGTTGAACTGACTTTCATACGTGCGCCGAATATCTTGACCTTGTCTGTATCCATAGACGTATTGGCGATCAGTATTTTCGCATTCTCTAGCCGTTTAGGCTGATTTACACCGATCTTCTTGTCGAGGATGAACCCTTCGTCCAGGTACGAGTCGCTTAGCTTGCCTCCGGCCTTTTTGATGATCTGGATATGGCTGAGGTCTGAAGAACCCTTAAGCCGTAACACGGCTTCGACGGCCAGTTTGGAGAAGAGATCCCTATCTTGGGCGAGCACCTTAGAACTGAGGGTTGTTCGCGCGATAGCGAGCAGGTCCTTCTTGAAGGCCTCGGGATTCTTGCTGTGATCTACCGCCGAGCCCTCCAACGCCTGTAGAGCCGCCTGACTTGCTATCCGGTAGCCTTCGATGATCGTCTGGGGGTGAATCTTTTTGTCGACGAGCTTCTCAGCTTCGCGCAGAAGCTCGGCAGCCAACACAGCTACCGAGGTCGTGCCGTCACCAACTTCGTCGTCTTGAACTTTTGATATGTTGACGAGGACCTTTGCTGCTGCGTTGTCGAGTGCTATAGACTTTAGGATAGTGGCGCCGTCATTGGTGACCATGATTTCAGCCGTGGATCTTGGCAAGGTTAGTCGAGGAAAATAGGTCGAAGGGGAACAACTGTTTGATTTGGACGTACGCTGATTGTAATATCTTGTCCATTCCCTTTGGACCTAGGGTACTCTTTACTAGGTCGCCAACGGCAATGGCGCCGACGAAGGCTGCTAGACGAGCATTCTCTCCCTTCTCCTCGGTTGTACCCTCTTCGAAGATCTGGGTGGGACTGAAAGACGACTAGGGAAGAGACGACGTGTTAGCGGGAAAGGGCCAGAAATATACGAGTAGTGGAACATACCATCTTCAACGCAGTAGAAAGTATAGAGTAGAGAATAGTTATAAGTGATTCTATCAGGGGTTGTTGCGATGTTGCGGTGTGCTTTTCCGCAAAGCTCGAGATGTCTTTTTGTAAGTGTGCTACCTTACGGCGGGGCCTGGCAAGAGCTTCAGATGTAAATGCGGGCTGCACCTAGACTTTTTTCGCGGGACAGGTCGGAGAAAGGAGAAAATGTACGGCCGGAACCATAAATGGACTCAGCTCAAGAACCTTCAACGCGCTAAAGGTGGGGTTTGCCTAGCAGCCTGTTTGATAAAACGATAAGATATAAGCGGATAACAAGAAGTTGGTGGGCAAAGTGGGGACACACACAATTGGGGCTTTTTTTACCTTAGGAACGTTCAAAAAATCACCTGCAAAAAATATTGGCCGCGA